CTCGTTCGAGCCGAGCCCGAGCTCGAGCCGATGCTATATATTTCGAGCTCGAGCTCGAGCCTGTAGAAAATCGGGCTCGGCTCGGCACGTTTGCACCCCTAGTTACAACTAAAAAAGAACAGATATAATATGTAATCAACCACCTAGTATAATTTATGTTAAAGACTTATTTTTTTTTATCCTTTTTATGACATTTGGAATTTATTATTATATTGTAAGTTTGGCGTCCAGTGTGCACATGCTCTCATAAATGTATAGGTCCGCCACTGATTCTAGGAATGTAAGAAATTATGCGACAAAATTGAGGATATCACAATTTGCACGTTTGTGTCGCACATAATATAATTTATAATTTGTACACTCTCTCAAGAATATACATTTAAGGTTGTCGATTTAAGATTAAAAGTTTAGGTACGATGACTAAATTAGAGTGTGTATACCATACAACCGGTTGTACGACTGGCACCGTACAACCAATGGCAATTTTGTATTTTCGGTGAAAATCACAACTTCTATTAAACGAGCATTGATGCAGTTTTGGTGAGCATCTAACCTGTTCTTTTGAGTATTCAGAACCTAACAGTGAGCATTAGTGATCCATGTTTCATATCTTGCTTCTAATTCACTTTTTTTTCCTTTCGTTTATGAAAAATTCTTAAATTATGTCTATAATAAATTCCAATTAATTTCAATGTGTGAATCTAATGTAGTATGATACGTTTGAAATGTGCAACATTTTAAAATGAGCGTAAAGCAGTACCGAATGAGCATACATAGCTTACAAAATGAGTATAAAAATATTCAAAAACTTATTTACGTATGCTAATTCATTTTGGGCGTTTTACATAAAACTCATCCATAATGTGCTCAATATTCACTTATGTATGTTCATTCTTTCTAGGCGTATACTCATTTGAGTTTAATATAAAAACTCATTTGAGATCAATAGCAGCATGAATTCTTCAGCAATAACAAAGTAGACTCCCATTGTCTCCGAAAATCACAACCTCAAACAACAAAGCTGTGTAAGAAAAAGAGAAAAAGGAAAAGAGCGGAAAGAAAGACAGAGGGGGGAGAGGTAACTATGCCCGAGTCGTTGCGTTCGTGCGAAGAAGGGGCGAGTACTGGTGAGCGGCAACGACGAGTAGCGAGCTGGAGGAGAAGGGGGTGAACGTTGGCGACAGTGGGCCTGGTGCGAAGCGAACTCGAAGAAGCAAGCGAGACCGAAGAAGCCTGGTACATTGCAAAGGCAGCCTAAAGAAGTCTGGTGCAAAGCCAGGTTGAAGAAGCACAGAAGCTCAGGAAAAAGTCCGGTCGCACCGTGCGCACGGTACAGCCGGCTGTACGATATATTTTACCGAGTAAATTACGCATTATTGCATCACTTTTGTGGATAACGTTAAATTCAATTTTTTCTGAAAGAACGTTAAAATCGTTTTAGGTGGTGAACTATTGTTACTATATAGAAGCACCAATCACTATGAATCACAATGGAACAAATCGTTTTTTAAATCAACGTAAATATTAGTAAAAAATGGTCGAAAAAAAGAATGACAACTTTTATTAATATTGATGGAGAATAGGATCCAAACTATATTATTTAGGAGAGATTGAGCTACTGAAGAAGAGGCATGTATAGTAGACATGTGTATAAAAGTTAATCTAACATATATAATGAATAGTAAAATTTACAATAATATAGATGATGATATCAGCTGAGAGCGTGTAAACCGTTGTCCAGGTCCAATAGCCACGAGAATGAGGGTACAAGCCCATGTACTCTATCAAATACCTGTCACATAGATAACATTTAACAGTAACTATCTACATCAGACTACAAATAATGCTTGAGTTTCTATTCATAACCCTACTTTGTGTCAAATAAAAAGAAGGATTGTTATAAGATTTGTTATATAAAATTTTCTTTTTACAATAACAGAAGTCCATTTTGAGACACTCAAATAATAAAATTTGGAGAAAACTGTCAAATAGGTCCTCGAACTTTCATAAAAACATCAAATAAGTCCTTATATAGGAGGCTTTGTCCGACCGTCGCGATTTGGGGCGGTTTCTGGTGGACTTTTTTGATGAATTTTTTTGAGCATCTTATTCATCAAGTCTAGTTTACTCATACCAAATTAGCTAAAACTTCAATCGAGAGCGCATTCAATTTAATTCCTGAAGATAACTGTGCAGTTAAATGCGCAGTTATCTTCAAGAATTAATTTGAATGCGTTCCCGAATGAAGTTTTAGCTGAAATTTGGTATGAATAAACTAGACTTGATGAATAAGATTCTCAAAACATTTCATCAAAAAATTCCACCGGAACCGTCCCAAATCGCGACGACGGCCGGTCAGAGCCTTCTATATAAGGACTTATTTGACGTTTTTATGAAAGTTCGAGGACCTATTTGACAGTTTTCCCTAAAATTTGAGAACTTGTTTTCTGGCCAAGGTAGTATTGCGTAATATCGACGTGTAAGTGTGATATTACTTAGAATAACTTGTCGATTTAAATGACATATGCTTGATACAAATCAGGTTATGTTATGTTTTACTAAATGTTGAAAAATGTACACAAAGTTATGTTCAATGCAACTACACGTAAAGAACGTAACTAAATGTGTGTCTATTTACATGAATTGTGTATTTTGGTGCAAAATGTGATATTACTCTATTGTAACTTATGTTGTATTTGTAAGAAATACATGTGACTCACATAACTCTTTCTTCTTCATCCCGATGATACCTCCTATGCAGCGAGAGTTTAATTCTAAGAGTTCAAGCCTTCAAGTTTTGTACCTTTCGTTATTCACATATCTATGAATTGATAAATTCGTGAAAATATATACCTGTTGGAAAATGATGATTTCAGGGAATAGGAAGAAATTTGTGCTGATAACGTGTTATAAAATGAAAGGAAATAAGCAGAAGATCAGAGAGAGAAAATATAATATGAACACTTAATGATAAAGATATTATTAATTTAATGGTGTGATAGAGGAGTGATTATGGTGTTGTAATAGCATGTTACATAGAAGGAGAAGATTCCTATTTATAGGAGAAAAGCTAGCTCATTAGAGCATCTCATTGATGATATTCAAATAAACTGGTTTTCTAGTAAAAAAACATATGACTAATGTATAAGTTCAGATTGTTTATTGATACACAAATGCTATGTTTTGTATAAATTTTGTTACAAATGCTATATATGTATGAAAAGATACGTAAATGTAATGTCATTTTGTTGTAAATAAAATAAATTGTGAGTTTGGATTTAAAAGAATTATGATAAATAATGATGGAACCTAGATGTTTGTTACACTTATACATGCGTCCACCAATAAATCAATCATTTTATTATTCACAAAAAGTATTCAAAATGTATTTTGGTACTGATATTATGAGCCCGTTTGGTAGCACCAAAATCGGCTGTTTTGGCTGATTCTGCTGAAATTTATGATATTCTGGCTGGAGTGGCTGTTGTGGCTGATTCTGCTGATTTAAGAAAAAAATATTTTAAAAATATATTTTATTAATAAATTAAAGAAAAATTATATGTAAAAATAGCTAAAATGGTCCTCTACAGTAACTTCAGCCAATACAGCCAGAAAAGTAACTCCAACCTTACTTTTTCGGCTTATTACACAATTCAGCGCGCGAAAGTAAAAGTTACGTGTTTGGTGAAAAAGATGGCTGATAAGCCTGATAAGCCGAAAACAGAGTTCTCCAAACGGGCTCTATAATATACTACCTCCGTAACTTAAAAACCTTCACATTTCAAAAGTAGGTAGATTAAGAATAGTGAAAGTGGATATGAATCATTGAGGGTATGATGGGAAGATAGTGGAATAATGTGATTGAATGTAGGATAAATCCAAAAAAACTAGTTGTAATAGTGTATTATTTTTAGAATTATTGAGGGTATGATGGGAAGATTTAGAAGTGGGAAGATTTTTTTGTTACGGACGAAAAAGGAAAGTGGTAAGATTTTTTTGTTACGGAGAGAGTAATCTGCAATGAAGTAATACTACAAATTCTCAATTGAGGTTTGTGTCGTTATGTTACGGTGTAAGACTGTGAGAGCCGTACGTGCGTCATGTATAGACAAATTCGTACATTACAACAACAACATTATTCCATTGTCGCAAAGGCTCCCATCTACGTTAAGGTAATGAGAGGTCGGATGTACACAACTTTACCCATGTACCAAAGCACATAAAGACTGTTCCGAATGACCCAAAACAAAAATCATGTTGAAAATTGTATGACATGACTGCTGCTTAATAACAAAGAAACACAGACATTTTAATGAGTCATTTTGTTTTTATTCCATAAATTTGTATATTGATATTCTAATTTTATTCAATTTTTTGATGAATTGTCTATGCACACAAACTATTAAGAGCATGTCAACATGCAACAATGTGCACAAAAAATGAAATCAATCAAATTTCTCTCTTTTATACATGATCTTCTATACTTTAGTTTTTATAGAAAAAATACCAAACACAAAGTCCACATCTAAACGTTCAGCTTGACATTGTGAAGAATTACATAGCGAGAAATATTATACTCCCTCTGTCCCAATATAAAAGGCACACTTTTCTTTTTGGTCCGTCCCAATATAAAAGGCATATTTCCCTTTTTGGCAAACAAAACAGTGTCAAACAGTGCCAAACAGTGCCAAACAGTGTCTAAACAGTGCCAAACAGTGTTCAAACAGTGTTCACCCTTAAAAAGTCCTCAAACGCAAATGTGCCTTTTATATTGAGACGGAGGGAGTATTAATTAATTTTTATGTGTTATCACTTGAACACTAGAGTTTGTTGCATTGTAGATGTTTAAGGGTCCATGTACAATTTGAGTGTGACAATTTTATGTCACCTCTCGAATAGAGACTCTATTTGAACTTTGAAGTAACTATAACAACCGTATTTATTTGAATTTTTCCTACTTTTCGGACATAGTACGTATATTAGTGAAAAGGTCACTTTTCAGACTTCAGTTAGAAGAGCGTGATTACACGCTAACCGTATATACCTCAACGAAAACCCTCACTCCCGCCACTCTCCAACTTTCACCCTCTTCGTCCTTTCAAATCTGAAATATTCCTTTTCGTCGACTACCTTGGTTGTCTCAGCTCAGAAGTCCATGGCGCCGAGTACATGACCAAGTCGTTCTCGCCATTTTTGGAAATGGAACCAGATAGTAAGCATTAAATGGTCGAGCTTAAAATCAACCCAGCAATGAGGTTCGTATTTTCCATTGCCAACTCAAAGCTCCTGAATGTGTTTTCAATTCGCTTTCAAACTGCATGCTCAATGGACAACACAGTCTCCCTCTAAGTTTTCCAGATTTACTGTATTACACACTAAATCGACTATCACATTTCTGGGTAGATATATTTTGTTAATATATTCGTACCCCTAAAAGCTAGCCCTAAAACTGTATATCTTAAATTTTATACGAATCTGTTTTCGAAAACCTTTTCTTAATCGTGTCAAAAAATTCAAATCTGAGCTATTACGCCAGTTTTTATATGCTATAGGATAATTCGGTATCCATCCAAAGATAAGTATTTTGAGTAAATAACATCTACAATTGTTGATCCCTTGTTCCCGCTCGTCTGCATGTGTGAACTAATTCTTTGTTTTGTTTTTGTGGTTTCAGATCTCACGTGGGGATGAAATTGGGGACTAAAAAACAGGTGTCTAAATCTGATATACTCTGTTCATATATCCTTATCCACAAATGATATGCATTATTGAATACTCTGCTAAAATGGAAAAAAGTAAACAATAACGTTAAGTGAAATGGTAACATGATGTAGGAAGGCGTAGTTAAAGAATCTGTATGATATCATAACCTCAATCTTGTCTTGCTATCAAAATTGGTATGGTTTCTAAAGAGCATTAATTTATTTATAGAGCTGGAACAATTGACTTACTCACGTGTAACTTCCTCAGTATTTTAAATGAAGCTAAGGTGTATCTGAAATGGGTATTTAATTTTCAGAATGGGCTATTTTCCATTTTAACTACTCCGTACATCTTTTTATTTTTTATTTTTTTATTTTTTATTTTTAACTTTGCGTCCATAGCCTCCACCTAAATAAATAAAAACTGAAATTGATGGTAATGGACAAGTACTGTAATCCGGACACTGATCAAATTTGTCAGTTAAGTGACATTGTCTATTCTTTTTAATTAATGCCGCTTAGGAATGGAAATACGGAAATAGTACTTTGACATGTGATTTGCAGTTATACACAATGGTGGGAACAGTTTTTTTTCAGACACTCCCATTATTATACAGATAAATATAACTTCATGTTTCTGCAAAAGGCTGTTCTTCCAGAAGGGTTTCATACACTTTTTCTTCCTTACACGTCGCAGGTGGCAGTTGTTTGTTTGCTTGTTGTTTCAAACATCTGGGGGGTTGTCAAACGCGTCAGTGTCGGTTGAAACCTTTCTGGGTGGTTGTCATTTTGGGAGTCTTGCAATTTTTAAAATTCTAATTTTGTGGTTTTTTAGTGCATGACATAACTTTTGATTGATTTGAGCATAATGTCAGGAGAGCCAGTGCCAGAGTTTCGGAAATAATTCGGATAAATGCAGTCAACCTAGGAAGAGATCCATAGGAATCATGGTAGATTCTGCTGCAAAGCTTCAAAGCAAGAATCTAGATGCCTACAGAGTTGCAATTCCAGTAGCTGGTGAAACAAATAATGGCAAAGTAAACAACATTAAAGGAGTAGCTAATCGTGCTAATGGAAATCAACAAGAACCTCCATTGGATGATAAATCTCCAATGATTTCTACTAGATCCATCCACATGGAAACTACATTAAAATCCGTTCATCCTGTGGAAGAACCTTCTAATTTGTTGGACACTCATGAAATGTGCAACCTATCAGCTGGAACAAAGATTACACCAAGGGCATCTTCAGCTCAGTTTTCAGAATTTGAAAACCTAGAATTCCTATCAAACAAAGCCGAGGAGAAGGAAGGGAACTATTCTGCTGTAGATGTTGCAGGCAAGTTTTCTCTCACAGAAGCACACGAAGATATGCCGGTGAAAGCATCTGCAGTGGACAAATCCGAGAGAGCAGATACAAATGGAACTGATTATCTGAGAATGCAGCTACAGAAGATCTTACAGAAAGTTTCTTCACCTACAAAACATTGCTCAGATTCTGAAATATTAGATGATGGCGCAAAAGGGTCTCGTGCAGAAAAAGTAGTTATTCAAAATCACAATCCCAAGGCTAGTTCAGATACAATAGAAAACGATACTCAAAGTCATGATCCTACTGTTAGGAGGCCGGTGACTCGTTCTTTGAATAAAAAAAGAGCCACACCCAAATCACAATTGAAGAAGTCAAAGAAAAAAGTGTCCCCTCGTGCTCAGGAGGAAAGATTCGAAATGCTCTATCCTGGAGGAAAGAAGAGTAGGAGGTTACGTGGCGCTGCCACTGGAGGAGGCTCCTTGACGACACATGAAAGTTTAACAAAGAGGAAGAGGTCAGAGATAGAAGTCCCTGAAATGTCAAATGGAATGGATGCTGTCAAGAAGAAAGAGCAGAATACCAAGCGCAACAAAGCGCCACACGCTGAAAGATCCAGCGATACTATCCAATCATATGAGAAGTCAAAGAGAGTTTTTGCGGAGCTGAGATTTGATACTTCTGAAAAAGATATATCCGAGTCACCAGTTGTAGAAAAAGAGAAGTCAAAGAGTGTTTTTGTGGAGCCGAGAGTTGACACTTCAGAAAAAGATGCCTACAAGTCACCAGTTGTAGAAAAAGCTGAGCAGCTGAGAGACATTAATGGATCAAAATGGAAAGAAAATCTGTATCGTCCAGAAAACTTAGCGTGCTCATCCTTGAAGGAGAATTTTGACCCAAAACCTGATATGCAACATTCTACTTTTGCAACAAAAACACCTTTAGAAAGATCTTTTATTGGATCCTTACCAAAAAGCAGAAGGGTTGAACTGGATGGTTGTATTAATACAGAGATACTGTTTAACCCAAAGAGCTTTCAGAACTTTAAGGGTTTCCAAAGATCAAGCCGACAAAAGAAGTCAAATGAACAGGATGTCTCATCTGTATCCTTCATAGCCCCCTCCCCCAAAAGGTCCCACCGAAATTGGGAAACTCTTACCTACATGATGTGAGGAAGTAAGAGATAGATATCAGCTCATTCTACCTTTACCATACATTCTGGAGTAGGACCTTCTAGCCTTCTAGGCTACTGCATGCTTAATGATTGAGCAATTGGCTATGTGTGTGTGTGTGCGTGCAAGATTGCTCTATTTCAGGTGGTTGGTTCAAGAGAAAGAACCTGCCCTTAATCGCTTGGCCACTGAACTAACTTTAGCTCGCGCATTTTTGCAAAAATGATATTTGAGCGGATGATATTCATAGTATGGTATATTACCTGCCCACCTGGTCTCTTTTGTTTCTCCTTATTGAATGCCTAGGATGATGCAGCTGTATTGGAATATCCTCCTCCTTTAAAACCAAAGTCTCTCTTTGGAGAAGAAGACTGTGTGGGGCCTTTTCAGTCACCATCACCTCATGATAGTAATCCTGAGAGCTCTGAAGATCGGATGGATATTGAAGGTTATTCCCCCATTTCACTTTTGCTTGATGATGTTCATGATTACTCTGTCATCTTTGGTCAGAGTTTGATGGCATTTGTTCATGTTACTAGCCGCACATGACGCTATCTGTTTTGTAATTACAGTTGGTAATTATATATGCTATTGACGAACGGGGCAACACATGCCACTTGTTTTTTAGTATTTCCATTCCACAGTTATATACATATATACTTAATAGTTAATACTTATCTGTAATTATGAGTTTGCTATCTGGGTTATCTACTCGGCAAGTACTCGCAACTCAGGTGGTGGCCTTGGCGATTAACTACTTGACTCGGTCCGTATATTATTTCCGAGTTACTCGCCAAGTTTCTCAACTCGGCGAGTTACTCGGCCAGGCATTAAAAATGTTAAATCTGAAAAGTTTTAATTAAAGAGGAATATTATGAAATTTATAAATAATGGGCGTGTGTTTTAAAATTTGGAAATAAACCTTAAAAAGTGTGGGTTTAAAAGTATTTCATACATCTTCTCATTCCAGCAGTTGTTCCTTCTCATCTCTAGGTAAGTTATTCTCCTCCATGGCTCTATTTTATTTCTCGTTTCTTCTTCAAGTTTTTTTTCTTTTTTGCGTATCTATGAATTATAAAAATAATATACAATAGTTTTGGATATTAATATTTTTAAAATTAATTAATACAGGACCGAGTAGTCACTGAGTAATCCCCGGTACTAGGTCCTACTCGCTACTCGCCCCTTGACCGAGTTGCTATCGATAGTGATTTAACTATGTAGCTTGTTATAGTAAATTTGCATTTGGTTGGTGAAATGCTATGGGCGTTCTTCTTTGCCTTGTATAATTGTTGGTGGAATTGATCACTTCGAGTTATCAAAACATGCCTGAGTTCTATGCATTCTGGCATCAAAAGTTCCAGGGAGTAGGATATTTGAAATGTCAGGTGGAAAAAAGATGGTTTGGTTTGTGATATGATTACTTTCTAGATCATATTTACCTACCTTAAGAGATAGTGATTTTGGGTTTACCTGGAATGTCTTTGTGTGAAAAGTTGGATAAGCTTCCATTTTTCTCTTGTTCATTTCCTCCTGATTTTATTTCCCAGCTGATAAGCTTTTTTATATGATGTAAATGTAGGTAGTAGAAAATTACCGTCATTGTCTGCTGAGATTGGTACTAGAGATGAACCAAAGTTTTCATTCAAACCAAGCAAAGGTTTCTTCACTGAAAAAGGTAGTACTGAATTTAGTGGGACATTTGATTGGTAAATTTGCATTTGATTGATAACATGGTATGGGACATATTGCTTCCCCCCTATGATGATAATGGTGGAATCAATCAGTTATGTTAACAAAACATGTCTGATGTCTATGCATTCTGACATCAAAGATTCCATAGAGTAGGACACTTGAATTCTCAGGTGAATAATGATGGTTTGGTTTGTGATGTGATTAGTTTCTAGATAATATTTACCTTAGAAGATAGTGATATATGGTTGTCTGTGAAAAGGTGGATGCTGTTTTTTGCTTGCTAATTTCCTTATTGTTTTATACCCCAGGTGATAAGCTTTGTTATATGTAATAAGTGTAGGTTGCAGGAAGTCCCCTTCACTGTCTGCTGAGATTGGTACTACAGATGAACAAAAGTTTGCACTAAAACCAGTTAAAGGCTTCTTCAGTGAAAAAGGTAGCACTGTATTCAGTGGGACATTTTTCTGTCATCTATTACCTATTACTAATGGTGGAATCGGTCACTTAATGCTAACAATTGATGTCTGAGGTCTATGCGTTCTGGCATTAGTTTCCATTGAGTAGAACACCTGAATTCTCAGCTGAATACAAACATATTTTAAACAGGCGGATGCTATTTTTCTATATTGGTGTGTGATATGATTGCTTTCTAGGTGATATTTGCCTTTGAAGATAGTGATCTTTGGTTGACCAGGAACGGCTATGTTTGAAAAGGCGGATGCTATTTTTCTGTTTGTTCATTTTTTTCTTATTTTATTTCCCAGGTGATAAGCTTTGTTATATGATGTAATATAGGCTGCAGGGAATCACCTTTATTGTCTGCTGAGATTGCTACTGCAGATGAACCAAAGTTCGCATTCAAACCAGGCAAAGGCTTCTTCAATGAAAAAGGTAGTAATAAATTTTGTGTGTAAGTTTCACTCAAGCTGACCACAATGGTATAAATAGATACTCCCTCCGTCCCCTTTTAAATGTCCCGGAAGAGGGCGACACGAGTTTTAAGAAAAGTGGGTTTGTGTGGTTGATATTAATTGATAAAGTAAGAATAAAGTAATAATGATTTTGAACCACACAAACTTTACCAAATAAGGTATGGGACAATTAAACAGGGACATCCCAATATGGTAAAACGGGACAATTAAAAGGGGACGGAGGGAGTATATGGGGTTCAAACCTGATATATTGGTTTTATGCATGCTGTGTTAAATTTCAGAAATTGAAGATAGTGACTCTCCTTTGAGACAGTCTAGTCCAAGTGAAGATGATGGGTTTGACAGGTAATGCTTCAGCTTTGAAGTAATGGAATCAATGTTTCTGTTGAGTGAACCTTTTTTTCTTTTTTATTTCGTGAAATTTTCAGGGCTGTCAATTTATTTGCTTTCACATTACAAAGAATTAGAAGCAAAATGAAGTCCCTGGCTGACAAAAGATCTGCTGAGATTCTGATGTCTGCAGCTGAGGGAATTCATAATGAATTGAATAATGCAGAAATTCAGACTCAAGCTGATCTGTGAGTTTATAGATGATTTAAGTACAAGCTTAGGAGTCCAGCCTTACGATCGTATGTGATTCATTACTTGCATTCTTTTATTTCCTTCATTTTTTTCAGGAGAACACTGATCAGCCGGAGTAAAGCAAATCAAAAGCATCTAGATGCTAAATTTCAAGGTAATTGTCTAATTTAGCGTCAGCAAATGTGATTGTTCCTTTTCCCGTTTATGCACATTTTCATAATGAAGTAGTGCTATTTCTTGTGATAATTAAGTTTTATTATTGAATGTAAATTTATTAATGAAGTGGTGCCACACAATAACTAGAATGAAAAAAGTAAGTTTATGTGGTTGATATTGTATTGATAAAGTGAGAATCAAGTTAGAATGATTTAGAACCGCACAAATGTTACCAAATTTGGTCACAATAACTAACATAACTCATAAAGCATTTAAATAAGATCCCTTGATCTAATCAATCCTAACTTCTTATATCCTTAATTAATCATCATTTGATATAAGATCAGCATCTTCATCTCTTACCTCCATGTCCACAAACACATCTTGAGTCGGAATTTGTAGTTTTACGAACTATTAAATCTTTGAAAACACATTTTATTACATTGAACTCGCTAAGTTATTATTATATTCACTATGTCACTAAAATTTGCCAAGTAACTCTGTTTTTAGAGTTGGACTGAATAGTTATACAGCTCGGCAAGGTCAAGGTCGGAGTAGCGGCCTAGTACTCGCTCACTAAATGTCTAAATAACATATTTCCTGTACTTTTCTAATCATGAAGTTTCATTGGAATGTGTTCTGGTTTTGTGGTATAGAGCAACAAGAGCAGCTGAATGGAATCTATGAAAAATTCAAAGAAGAGCTAAATCAACATCTCCAGGGTTGTAGAAGCACACTCGAGCATCTAGAAGAGCATGAGACTGAGCTTAAAGCAGCCATTGAAAAGCAAAGTATGTCAAGATCTTTAATATTGCTTATATTATTTCACGGGCTATAGAAGCTCATTCATCACAAAATTGGATGGTTTTTTTGCTGGCCTATCAATTTAGGAGTTAATCCTAATAAAATGCATTTGGCATTAATGGACATGCCTCTACTTTTTAGGCTTGTTGATGCTGTTGTATAGATGGTACCATTTTTTTTATATAGAACGTCCACTGTTTTCTCAACTTAAAGAATACTTAATATGTATGTGAGGTGTACCCTGAGATGAGAACCTTTTGGATGTTGTAGAAGTATCAAAGAGAAAATTACTCATGCAACTGGAAGAAGAAATTCAAAGTCAGCTTGTTGATGCTCATAGAAGAATTACTGATGTCCACCATGTGAGTTTCTTTCCCTGAAATCTGGAATTCTGGAATATATACCTTTTGGGTGTGAGGCAGGTAAGAACTCAGAGCCGGCCTTGATAATCTGAGGGCCCTGTGCAAGACATAATATGAGCCCAAACTTTTAACCATACTATTGACTAATAATAATGGAATATAATTGGAATAATCAGATTTGTAGTCGTAGCTTACTAAGCTATTAAGCTCTTGGAGTACTATAACTCTAGAAGCGTGAAGCAATAGAGATTTTGGAATTTGGAGATATAAATTACGAAGCTGGAAGGTCCGAAGCCTCTTTCTTTGGCCTCCAGCTTCCGATTAGATAGAAATGTTTCAAAGATGACACCAAGCCGGAAATGAAGTGCCGATTAATTTTCAAACATTGATGGTTTTATTTGCAGTCTAATTTTGAAAATGAACGATTCAACTCATGAAATGAAGATTGTAAAGCTTTGACAGATATGTCATTCTCATGATATTGAAAATTTCATTGAAGCCATAGATGAATAAAGAATAGGTGGTGACCGGCCATTGAATTTATAGGAGTTATAGTCAAATGATTAGTATTCTCTATATTCAATGGAAAAGTGATTCTCAATTACCGATTCCTCCGTATGTATGACCAAAGCTTAATAATGAAACAATTTTTTCTTTGTACACACTTTACCGTTGTACACAGTCTTAGACATGTTTGCGAATAGCCTATTCACGGTAGCACATGTTTTGTTTGTGAACAGGCTATTCACATACAAAAACACTCTCACAGACGTGTGTAAAAGTGTGTACAGCGGTAAAATGTGCACAAAAAGTTTTTTCACAATGGAATAATTAATTATACCTAATGGGCCTAATAATAAAACAAAATAGGGGCCCTCATCTAATTAGGGGCCCTCATCTAATTAGGGGCCCTGTGCGGCCGCACTTGTTGCACATGGCCTGGGCTGGCCCTAATAAGAAGTAGCCTTCCCATGAAACGTGGAAAAGTGAAACATTCAAGAATGATGGATTTGCACGTTTTCACTTTTAAGTCTCAGGTGTTCACTTTTCAAATGAACATGGTGGTGGCTGTTGCAGTTAATTAATGTTGCCGTAGATTCATACTGCTCATGCTTTATTTATTGATCAGCATAATCTTCTGTGCGTGCTCTTTTGAACTACATGATTCAATGGGGCATTTTAAATTTAAAAGAAAAATCATATGTAGTGACTTAACCCATCAATATCAGCATAAAATGCTATTTTTGCAAACAACTACAAGATTTCTTTATCTGAAACTTAACAAGCATCTTAGGTTTTCCCTGCCATACTTGGGTCCTTGTATTAGAGATCATGGATTCCCCGATTATCCATTATCATCTGTGCACTTAACAAACATTTTACTCAGTATTTGATTTCTTGAATCTTTTTAACTGTTGCAGTTGGCTAGGGATAAGATGCATCAATTGAAAGCTGTAGTAGCAGAATGTTTCAAGCTCAGTTGAGACTTTAACTGTTTGATAGATGGTATTATAGTACAGCATCTCAAGTTGGGCAACACACCGGAAAAGTGTCAAATATTAGCGGGTTCATTTCTAGCTTGTAACGTGTATTTTGGGCTCTACAAGAAACCGACAAGTCTATTAAATTTGTGCACATGAGAAAAGGAGAAAACATTTATTTGTACTAATGGAAAAAGAATCGTGTTTAATATAAACATAATGTTTTATACCTTGAGTTTTTTTTTCCAAAATAATGCTAAATAAAAAAGTATTTACGAAATTAAGATCGGGTTAAAACTATTTACCAAAACACTACCAGATCAAACTATGGTTAGTGAAAGCCGCCAAACCAGTTGGCAACTTTTGAAATTGTGGATGATGCGTACAAGCTAGGTAGGAGAAAATAGGGGTGGTGGAGCCTATGTTAAAGAAATTCTTCTTTTTCTTTAAATCGTTAAAACTTTCATATTCTTGCTCCAATTTTTTTAAAAACTATATCCAATTTTATAACTTTATGTGATCTTTTATATGACACCAGTATTGAATATAATTTTTTTTAAAAAATTCTAAAATCATATGAGGTGAAAAAACTAATTGTAACTATCTACTATCAATAAACTTAATTCACACAAAATACTTTTTAGTTAAATTTCTACACTTTAATCTACATCAACTTTTAGCTAAAAGCTTTTTAAAAAATCTGAAATTTATGGATTGGCTAGAGTTTTTTAAGCTTAACTTTTTTCATAAGTAGATTCGAGTGTTAAAATTAAAATCGCAGCATTATTTTATACATCTTTTAGTTATTTTTCAAGAAAAGACTTGAAAAAAAACTCCAACTTTATATTGCATTGAAATGTTTAACTTCTTAAATCAAAATATAAAACCAGAGTTTACTTCTTTTATTGTAAAAATTAAATCAAGAGTTTCTTTTTGCATTAAAATAGAGCTAAAAAACTAGGTAATTGAATCTTCAGTTTTTTTTGTAAAGTGTTTTTGGTTAAACGTTGATGTAGATTAAAAAGTGTAAAAAGTTAACTAAAAACTTTGTTGGGTTAATATATTGACGATGTTAGTAAAGAAAAACTGACAGGGTGAATACGAAATTTTCGTTTTAACTAGTTGATAATTAGGTTTATTGATGATGGATAGTTGCAATTAGTTTTTCACTTCTTATGGTCTTCAGAATTTTTTAAACTTTTTATATTCAATATTGATATCATATGAAAGATCACAAAAAACTATAAAATTTGACGTTTTTTTTTTTAAATTGGAGCAAGAATATGAAAGTTATAACAATTTAACCAAAAAAGAGAGTTTTTTTTTACATAGACCCCACCACCCTCTTTTCTCCCAGCTAGCTTGTACGCATTCCTCCGTATTTCTAAGAGATTCGCCGATTGGTTTGGCTAGCGGTGTTCACTAACATTTCTAAGAGTTTGGTCCAACAATATTTTTGTAAATAGTTTTAAGTCGACCCTAATTTTGCAAATTGTTTTTAAAGAAAAAAACACTTTTAGCAAAGCTTCTTGCCAAAAGAAGGGAAAGAAACGTAAGGGAAAGGTTGAAGGAATCGGAAATGAATTGAAGAAGTTGATGATAATAAAGCAACGCGAAAAAGGTTGTGGTGAGCACAAATTTCATTTGTGGAATGGTATAGCTAATAAGGGGCTGATTTCTCAGTCAAAATATACTCCGTTTGTGTTTTCCCACACCGACGGCTTATTGGGTTAGAAAAGAGATTTTAATAGCCTGTTGAAAATGTGGATTTCAACACATGATGCCATGATGGGTGCCATTCTCATTAATAATGCAAGATGTAGTTTGAATAGTTGTCATATATATTAACAATGTAACATATTATTTCCTTCTAATTTGAATTATAAGCAAATAACTTGTATTTCAATTTCAATAAAGAAGGAAATAATATGTTGCATCATAATTATGTATGGTGATTTTTTAGATTTTTTTTTGCATTGACACTCTTCTTTCCCTTATTTCTTCTAGTTGACATACATGAAAGTTCCGCACACAAACTATGCATAATTGAGATGTGAAACGGTGAAAGTCCTTCTTTCCCTTATTTCTTCTAGTTGACATACATGAAAGTTCCGCACACAAACTATGCATAATTGAGATGTGAAACGGTGAAAGTCTCACTGAATGTTGTCAACTTTTTATTTTTGTTTGTCTTAAAATTTTTATCAATTTTATAAAGTAATCAATTTGTAGTTATCATTATTTCTCTCTTCTCTCTGCACAAATCTTAAGCGTAGGCGATATTGAGTAGGACGGAGAGATTATGAGCCCATTTGGTAATACCCAAATCGGGTGTATTTACTGCTTCTATTGAAATTTATGAAATTCTGGCTAAAGTTGTGAGATTACTTGATTTTTACTGATTTATGGAAAAAATATTTAAAATGTTTTTTCTAAATAAAGAAAAATATATGAAAAACTAGCTGAAATGATCCTCTACAAAGCTTCAGCCAATGCAGTCAGAAAAGGAACATATTCCTAACTTTTCATCAAACAGATAACTATTGATTCCACGCGCTGAATTGTGTCAAAATCTAAATAAGCAAGATGCAGTTACTTTACATCAAACAGGAAACCAAAATTTAGAGCTCGTTTGGAGACCATTTTTTCGGCTTATCAGACTTATCAGCCATTTTTTTCATCAAACACATAACTTTTTATTCCGCGTGCCGGATTGTGTAATAATAAGAAAATGTAGTAATATTGGGTTGCGTTTTAGGCTATATTGGCTGAAGATACTGTTGAAGATTATTTTAGTTATTTTTTCTTTATTTAATTAATAAAATATATTTTAAATATAATTTTTTTCATAAATCAACATAATCATTCAATACAGTAACTTTTCAGTCAGTACTTCATGAATTTTTCAGAATCAGCCAATGCAGTCGATTTAGCTATTACCAAACGGACTCTTAATATTTTAGCGTTTTCTATATTTAAAATGTTTTAAATATATTTTTTCCCATTATTAATTTTTCTCCGTATTATTAAAAAATTATATTTAAAATATATTTTATTAATACAATAAAGAAAATGTTTTATGAAAAATAACTAAAATGGTTCTATGTAGTAAATTCAACAATCCAGCCATAGTAGTAATTACAATCTTACTTATTTTAATTTTTACACAATTCATCGCGCGGAATCAATAGTTACTTGTTAGAAATATTGGTCAATAAGTTTATAAGTGTGATAAGTTGAAAGACATGGTCATAAAAAAGACTCTAAATTGGTTATGAGTATACTTTTAAGCAACACTTATATAAAATTCAAGCATAACTATAGCCTCTAAAATTACCAAGTCACATCTTCATTCCTTATCTTTACTTTCGTCATTATAGGAATTATTTCTGTATAGGGAAAACTGTAAGATAGGCCCTCCTACTATGGCCAATGTGTCGATTAAGCCCCCGTAGTTGTAAAACGACCTATTAAACCAACCTAGTGCAAAACCTCCTTTTAACCGGTTCCCAACTGGTGAGCAGGTTCCCTTCTACTTTGGAATCCTATGTGGTGTCTTCGTGGAGGTTTTTACCCATTTACTCTCTGTTGATAAAGTGGGTCGCATCCCGACCTAACAAGTTGTCCATCTTTATTATTTATCACCATCGCGTAAAAGATTGGAGGCCGCAGGTCCTTAGGCTGGTCTTCTTCTCCGTCGTTCCTTCCCTGAAAACACATGTCCTCTTCGTCAGCGTCAACATCTGCTAAAGGAAGAAGTTGTACTCTATAGTATGAACCGGCCGTTTACCGTTGGTGTGGCTTGGAAACTCCTCTTTGTGTAGGGCGAGAGAGTGAGAAATAATTTTATGGGTGTCAAAAATGGAAGGTAATGAAATTATCATGTTCATTCTTATTATGCAGTGAGCAGTTATATCCTCTGAATGAATCAAATGTAGTAATTTTATTTGAAGCTTGATTTCATTTGTAATTGGTTTTGACTGTGTATTTCAGGGACATGGGTGTGGGGTTTTTATGTGGAAAGATTTTGATGAAACAAAAGGCACAATTTATGGCAGCGCATGCTTGGAGGTGTTGTTCATTAGTTAAGCGCTTTACACAGATGTTGGTTCTCTTAGAAGTGAAGTTCAAAAACAAGCCAAAGTTGACAGATTTTATAGGATTTTGTTTGGAATTGCGATGATGTTTGTAGCATGTGTTCTAGCCATGCTTTGTGTTAATGTTAGGAAAGGTGATTTGTACTGGTAAGCTGGATGTGAGATTCCGGATGTAATGGTGATATGTGTTTATGTAATGACATTGTAATCGTGTGATGTTGGTAATGTTTAAAACTTGGTGTGTAACTCATGACCTACGTCAAATCAGTATGTATGAGTTGAAGTTTACCTATTTATGTGTCATTATCTAAATTTCAAAGTAGTACTACCTCCGTCCCACTAAGATTGAGATAAGAGAACAAAATGGAACACATAAAATTGGTAATACCCCATAACACAAGGGGCCCAAAAGAAAACAGTGTGGCAACAAGCTAGATATAAAAACAGAACTCTCAATTGATTGTGTAATGGCCAATTAATTGCAAGAGCCACAAATTCAAAATTGAAAGATGAAAATGGAGTGAGAAATAATTTTATGGGTGTGGCTTGAAAACTCCTCTTTGTGTAGGGCGAGAGAGTGAGAAATAATTTTATGGGTGTCAAAAATGGAAGGTAATGAAATTATCATGTTCATTCTTATTATGCAGTGAGCAGTTATATCCTCTGAATGAATCAAATGTAGTAATTTTATTTGAAGCTTGATTTCATTTGTAATTGGTTTTGACTGTGTATTTCAGGGACATGGGTGTGGGGTTTTTATGTGGAAAGATTTTGATGAAACAAAAGGCACAATTTATGGCAGCGCATGCTTGATTTCACAATATAGTAGTAGTAGTAGTAGTAGTAGTGGTGGTAGTAGTGGTAGTAGTGGTAGTAGTGGTAGTAGTGGTAGCAATATAAATTTTAGTACTAGTACTAGTAGTAGTAGTAGTAGTGGTAGTAGTGGTAGTAGTGGTAGTAGTGGTAGTAGTGATTTTATTCTTGAAAAGAACATCAAGCCGTAATTCCTTTAATACGCTTCGAATTCTCAACCAAGAATCCCAAACGATGCATGCAAGTATAAATATCCTGGTTAATCCTCAAATAAACAAACATCTTCCTCGACTATACAATTATCGAGGTTTAGGG